AGCGACAAATGTGGGTCAAAGCGGGCCAAAACTGACACCACTTCCCTCTAAATTTGTTTAAAATCAGATCAGTCAAAACTGAGCAGATCTTTTGGCATTTATTCTAAAATGTGTAAATATTACCACACGCAAAATTAAGCTGAAAAGGCCAATGTCAGAATTCTAAAGAGGAGGAGGAAGAGGAAACATATTTGGTTTCCTTGTTTTTTTTTAGAATCTCTGGCTGTAACCAAATCAAACTGTGAGCCTGGGAAATCTTCTCTCAAGGTCAGGTGAATGACAAACCTATTGGTGGCGACGGCACATCTTTCTGACTGAATACATAGACACGTGTGTCTACGTGATTGAGTACAAAGCGTGAAATCGGAGTTGCAAGAAAAGAGGAATGGGAAAAGGAAGGGGTGGGCGAGGGGAAGCGCGGATGAGAAAATGAGAAAAGATGGAAGGAACAACAGGAGGGATGAATGAATACCGGAGAGCGGGAGGAGGTGGTTGAGCCTGACAGGAGGATGTAAGGAGTAGAAGAAGTGACTCCGAGGCAGAGAATAAGAAGAGAAAGAAAGTGGGTTGGCTTTCAGGTGGAACTTCTTTGGGTTCAAACACCATTTCAACAGAGCGTAGAGTGCGTGTGTGACAGGTAGCGGTTCCCCTGATGTCTGCCTTTAAGGCCAAACGCCCACTATAAGAGTTTTCATCTGAAGCCATGTCCTATTTGCCAAACATGAGGGAATTGAACTCCAGGATTTCTGCGCGGAGCCGACTTGATCTCATACACTGGCTGGTTGTCAACTATCGATCTTTCTGTACTGTCATGAATATCAAAAATCCCTTTCGCCCTTTTCAGACATTGAACATGGATTGCCTCATCTGTGTGTTTAAGTGATGGCTTTCTGGTACATGAATGTGTGTTACGGCTTTAGTCCAAGAGCCACAATTACGTGTGATATTTGGCATCTTAAACTGGATCACGCGATCAATTAATTCATACATTTCACACAATTAAACTCAAATACCAGTGCTGTCATCGGGTGCCACAGGACAATCAATCATAGGAAGGTACAGTAGCTAGTTACACATATATAAAGAAGTGGAGTTGCCTAATTTGCAGCAACCCAAACTGCATGATGTCCAGGAGGAAAAAAGACATTATAAAGTACTTTAGCAAGCAGCGCTGTACTGTAAGTCACTATCTTATTATGCACCGTCAAATCTGGCAAATAAGACGCAACGATCTGTTTACAAACCTTAGGCTATTTCTTGGTGCAAGCTATTTTTCAGAAATTTTTTTTTTACCAAATTATGCTTCTAAAAAGTAACTGGGACAAAAATGCCCATTTTAAAAAGTGATGGTGACGTGTCCCCAGTGCCCCCAGTGGAAATAACACCAATGTATGTGCATTAATAATACAAGCCTGAAAACCAGCCAAGCATAGATGCCCCACGTCAGCAAAAAGCCTGTCATTCAATGTAATTAGATTTAATTTACCCCTCACAAGACTAACTCTGTAATCATACAACCATCTTGGGTTAGAAACACACAAATTTGTCCCATATACCATCCATCCAACATGACGTTAACATCCAGCTGAGGACCTTTGTTACATGTTATTCCCTATCTCTCTTTTCCATCGTTTCCTGTCATCCCTGTACAGTCAAACCTCTAATAAAAAGAACATGCTCCATTTCACTATGCGTGACCTAGTAAGATTGCTTCTGTGACTTTTACACAGTGGCCCAGGCTCTTACTCAAACATGAGACCGACATGTTAAACTGACCATCACATACCAAAGGATACACACGAGGGGCTTCAGATACTCATTACAATGTATGCTATAATTGTACCTGCATTAACAAGGAAACTCATATTCCAATTACTGCAGCTGGTATTAACACAATAGTTCTGTTCTATTCAGCACAGTGAGATCATTGCTTTATGCCTTTAATTTTCCATCTCACTCCAATTAATTAGAAGCTACGCTGTGCTTGTTGTGAACTACAGATTTCTTACTCTGATTGAGGTATTAAATGATCTGTCTGTGCATACATTACAGCATTTTGCTCGTTGCTGTTGTTTAACCCTGTGTTGTACACAGTATTCTTAAGGCGGGGTCACATGAGAGAGTGCTACAGAGAACTTTTTGCATCTTTGTGCATATTCTGTTTACTCCCTCCTGACATTTTGTTCACTATTTCTATCAAGACAAAAGTTACTGAAGATGGAAAATAAAGCTTAGGTTAGCTCAGTTGCTAAAAGTTCACACTTCTATTCATGAGACGAAATCCATCGAGTCCTGTCTCTGAAGCATTCCTCTCTTGCATATTATTATCACTGTATTCATACAGTGATTCATCTTAATGCCAATGAGTGTTATATTGTGTGTTGTTAATAAAATCTGCAAACTCTCCGTATGTTTGTCCTCTTGAACAGTATGGTGGCCCACCATGATCACACATCCTTATCTTGAAGTACCCATGAGCCAGCCAATTAATAACTGCCAAAGTCAGCGGGGGCGGCACCGTAGAAGCTCTGCCAAGCAGAGATGCCAAGTAGGAAAAGGTGAAAAGACAATTTTCCTGCTGTGATAAGTTCAGTTTCACATTATTACAAAAAAAGAATCTTCACAATGAATGAAAAGGATGAGCTAAATTAACAGAAACTGCTGCTTTGGTCTGTCTCAGGTGCTGGAACAAGCCAAGAGAGCTGGCACAAGCAGAGAGTGATTTATTTTTTAACATCTGTGTGTGTGTGTGTGTGTGTGTGTGTGTGTGTGTGTGTGTGTGTGTGTGTGTGTGTGTGTGTGTGTGTGTGTGTGTGTGTGTGTGTGTGCGTGTGTGTGTGAGAGTGTGTTGGTAAGGCTCACACACTTTGGAGCCATCACACACCTGTCGCACCAAGACATCTAATTAGGGAGTCCTGGTCTGGAGTCTGGACGTGCATGTATGTGTGTGTGAGAAGGAAAGAGAAAACTGCTGAAAGTTGCGGTCACAAAGTGTGTAAGTGGATGTGTGTGTGTGTGCACAGGTCCTAGGAGAGGAGGTGCGGAGATGTAACAACAGAGAAATCAGAGTGTGACATGAAATATTCAGCTGGGCTTCAGAAGAGACTGTCCAGAAATAGGTCAGCTCAACGTGGTAGCTTCTTATTGGCACAAACACACACACACACACACACACACACACACACACACACACACACACACACACACACACACACACACACAGTCACACACCAATTTACACACGGACATCCAGACACCCAGACTCTCCTTCTGTCTCCACACACAGACAGTCAGGCACTCATTCACTTGAATACAAATATAGATAGATAGATAGATAGATAGATAGATAGATAGATAGATAGATAGATAGATAGATAGATAGATAGATAGATAGATAGATAGATAGATACTGTTTGTCGCAGTGTCTGACAGCTTTAAGACCCTTTAAATGATCCCTATTTAATGCCCCCCATGTGTAATTAGCACCAGTCAGCTCTTAGTGTCACAGTGGTAGTAAATAAAGCCACTTTAACCTCATTTAAAGTAACACCCGTGAACTCTTGTTTCCCTGGAAACCAATCCAACATCCAAGATCAACCCCTCCTCTCTCTCCAACCCCCCTTCCAAAAACTGCAAGACCTCTCTTGGGCGCGACAACAAGGCCGTTTTCTAGACAACAAAAGAAGGGGGGAGCATAAAAAAGGAGCGAGACAGGATGAGCTCTATATCAAGCCAGCACTCCCCCCCTCCACCACCCCACCGCTTTCTTCCTTCTCCTGTGTTGACAAATGAATTAATTAGGCGCAGGTAAGTGGCAGCACCCAGGAGAGTTGATGGGCTTTACCATAAAGGTGGTGGCAGTTATGCAGCGTTAATAATCTACATGGTGATCATTATGAAGTAGCATTTACAGCGGCCCCTAGAAAGGCCCACAGGCAGGTTCAGGTGGATGAGCATTTGTTAGTGTACAGAGAAAATCACAATCACAATGTATCAGACCTCAAGACAGACACTTTTTGCCATTAATACAACTTAAATTGCATTTTTAGAGCTGCAACTAACTTTCTTTTATATTATATATAATGTGACAATTATTTTTTAAACAAAATGTCAGAAAATAGTGAAAAATGTCCAAGGTGACATATTAAAATTACTTAAAAAATATAAAAATATTCAATTTACTCTCATAGAAGACAAAGAATATCAGAAAATATTCACATTAGAAAAGCTGGAACCATTGTATTTTTTATTTAAAATTTTTAAAAAAGATCTAATGATTAATAGATTAATTTCAGTTTCAGCTCTAATACATTCATGAATAAACTGTTCACCTCTTCCCTGCTGCTCACCCACCTCCCTGACAGACCTGTGGTCACATTAACATCAGGGTTAGTATTTACCACACGTTTTAGTGTGTTTCTAAAATGTCATGTCTGCAGCTTTTTAAGAGGGGAAAAGGGGAGCGGTGGGGAGCAATGTGAGGGTATGTCATTGGGCTGTGGTGCTGCAGGTGGCACAAACTGCATTAATGCCAGTTCAGAGCATTTTATTTAAATGATCCATTTTTTCCTTCATAGTTAAAATCAAAAACCTGAAATCATTTTTAGTATAATTCAATCTGAAGTGCACTCCAGCCTTTTCCTTTATTTCACCTCCACAATAGTGAATGTGGAGATCCCAGTGGAGTCACTGGTTGACAGAGACTGTCAGGATGAGTCTTTGTTATGGTCGAATAGACACAGCGGGGAGCCACCATACTGCTCAGGACAATACCTTCCTGTGGCTTGCACAGATTATTGTCTCTAGGAATGCCCTTCCAGAGGTGAGGATGCATCCTCCCCTCATCATCATCAGCTTCAGCATCATTCAGAACAACTCTTTGTTCTAACAGCTTCTGTTAACACACGGTTACAGCGTCCGGTGCGCACGGGACAGGACAGATGAAGCGGTTGTTATGATCTATGTGCCCATACATTGTGACCCCCCCCCGCTCCGGTTACCTGAGCCCAGCGTGCTGCTGCACTGCCAGTTCTCGGTGCTCCCCGGCTTCCAGCAGGACTCCCACAGGGACAGGTAGTACTGGTCATCGGCGGTCACCCACGCCGGGCTCATCACGGCTCCCACATCCAGGCAGAGCGCCAGGAAGACGCACACCAGCCCGACCAGCTTCAGCGGTGTCAGCGGGGAGCTCCGCGCCGACTCCTCTGTCTCGGTGACAGCAGACGACATGGCGGGGCTGGAGTGGCGAAAAGAGGGAACCGGTTCCAAACCGGGGAGGATGTGGATGTCTGTGTGTGTTAGTGTATCCAGACAGTGTGTGTGTGTGTGTGTGTGGATGTATAGGAGAGTCTGGTGAAGGGAAAAGTCTGAGCTGAGTTGCTGCTGCTGGTGCCGCCGCAGCCGCCTGCGTTGCGCGCTGGACGGACGCTGCGCCTGAGCACCGCTGCCGACGCGCACCGGAGATCTCCACCGTTTACAGCGCTGACGTCAAGACACCGAGGGATCAGCAGGTGCTACAGGGTCCTAAAGACAGAAGAGAGAGAGAGAGAGAGAGAGAGAGAGAGAGGAGGGGAGGGAGGGGGGGGACACCGCTCAATCAGGGCCGTAGCTAGGATTTGAGAATGAAAGAGGTCCTGAGCCCAAATCCCATTCAGTCACACCAGCCACCAACCAAACTTTGCCCAATTTTGTGAGTATTTAAAAACTAATCTCAATTAATCCCATTACTTCATAGCCTGTCAGCTGATTCCGACACATTTTTAGACTCAATATGTCATAATGTGACAAAATAGCCTATTAAAGAATAAGTTAGAATAAAGCAAAGTGATCCCCCACCACAGTTGGGCACATGATAGTGTGGAGTAGGATTTAAACCAGGATATAAATGAGTAAAAATAAAAATACTCACCAAATCCAGATTTTTTTTGTCATAAAATGTTATATTAATCTATATATTAATAATTTAATTTTGAGTAATCAGCTAGTTACACAATAATGAGCACATTTCATGGACACTGGACTCGGAGAAGAGTGTGAAATGTTGTATTAACACACTTGCACTCATTAGACCTTTATTCATGACTTCAAAAAAATTTGATGCTGGATTCCTTTTTTTTTAAGATTAAATATGAAGGACTTTCTTTTGCAGTGGAGGGAGACGCAAAGAGCAGAGGACAAAGGGAGAGCACACACAATGATGGAGCAGGAGAAAGTGGGAGGCACATGAAGGAATATTATTGTTTCTTCTGCATACTAATGACAAAGCCAGAGACCAGACAGAAGAGACAGAGGGAGACGAGGAGGGAGGGAGGCCTTAGAAAGCAGAGGTGAGCAGGTTTCAGGAGGCAGAGGCATCCGTATGTTTATTCAACCGGCAAGAAAGGAGGGATGGAGAGACTGACAGAAGGAAAAGATGGCCTTGTTTACCCTCCATCAGGACAATAATGAGCGATGATGAGGGAGAGACAGAAGGAGGCAGGGGAGCAGAGCAGAGAGCGGAGGAGAAGAGAGGGGAAGGGCAAGAGATAGAGGTGAAAGAGATGGAGGGATGGAAAGCCTGGAGGAATGGCATTTTTGTGCTTAGATAAAGGTCTTAATGAATTGACTTAGTGCTGATCCACATCACTTATTTACAGCTTAATAAGTTTATACCTCTCAGACAAAAACATCAGCTTCATACTCATAAACATCGGCCTCTATCAAATACGTCGTATCAATGGCAGGAAGTGCTGGTACATTTTGGAGGCATATTACTAAATAATGAAGGAATACATGCTGATTTTGTTGCTCGACAAGTAAACGCCATTTAGGGACAGTGGCGAGTGATATTTACTTTGTTTATTGTATTAAAGGGCCAACAATTTCTTATTCTGTGACGGAAATTCAAGTTTAATTTAATACTGAGGAGAAACACAACTGTTACAAATGAGAAGGACAGGCTGTTGCAAGAGAGGTAATCATTTTCTCAGGAAAGTAAAAGCTACATAAGCTTTTACTGGAAACACAAGGCAACTTTATCAAGGACATTTTTAATTTCTGACTTCGCTTCCAGTCCTTTATTGACGTTCAGTGGAAGAATAATGAACGTATACTCGGCAAATTGTATTCCTGTGCTTTATGAGCTGACAGATCCAGTTTATGCGGGCCTCAGTGGGGACGTACATACAGTATGGTCTTCTGCTGATTGTAGCCGGATGAAAAACTCCAGGGAGAATCAAAGATGGTTAGGGGAGTTTTCTTTCTAATTTTCACCCCAGATGTGTCAAGTCCTCAAGCTAAAGAAAATGCTTACCTTGTTTTTATTTTTCAACTGGAAAGGCAATATCTTTTGGAACAATTGAACAGAAGGAAATAACTCAAACCAGAAATAAACAGCCATAAAACTATTCTTTATCCTTTTAGGATCCATGGAGGTAAACAGCAAGGCTTGTGTATTTCAGGATAGAGATATTTAGTCCAAATGAAAATGTAATTAAAATTGTATTTATTCTACATTAGCCCTTGAATTGCTTAGTTTTGAAAAAACATACTTGGACAAGTACCACGTAGTCAGATTTATTGTGTATTATTGGGCGGCTGTGGCTCAGAGGCAGAGCAGGTCGTTCCTCAATCGGAAGGTTGTGGGTTCGATCCCCGGCTCCTGGTGCCACATGTCGAAGTATCCTTGAGCAAGGTACTGAACCCCGAACACAAAAGTGTGTATGAATGTTAGTTTCTGTTCGATGGACTTTGCCATCACTGAGTGAATGTGTGTGAAAGGATGAATGTGGTAGTGTCACGTAGTGTAAAAGCGCTTTCAGTGGTCGGAAGACTAGAAAGGCACTATACAAGTACAGGTCCATTTACCATATGCTTCACTTATACAAGAGGAACTGATTTGAGGGTGAGGAGTTTGACTGCTGTAAAATAATCCACTGTACATGTAAATAGCAAATAATAAGCATCATAAAACTATTGTGAGGCAGTTTATCTATTAGTCACAGACACACTGAAACATGTAAATAAAAAGTCAAGGACTCGAATGTCATTTGTCATGCCTTGTCATAAAAAAAGACTGTTAAGATATATGTATTCACGTCCATTGCAAGAGTTTTGAAACCAGTGGAACCTTTGGATCAGAAGCGTCACTAAGCTATCCAATCAATAAAACATTTTATTTATTTATTTATTTATCCCTTATATATGGGACACACGCTCTACCAGGTGAGCTACCAGGGCACCCCCAAAAAATGACATTTTAGCCATTAATCTCACCATCTAACTTGCTACATCATAGGACAACTATAATAACTAGAATATGTGTTTTGACTTTGTTATAAGATAAATGTTCACATTCTGAAAAACAAACAGCAACTTTTCCTGACATTCAGTGAAAGCCTAAAATATGCATCATGCTACAAAATAAAGCAGTAAAGCCATGGTATACTGACGTGAAATGGCATATGATACATTATCAAAATCCCAAATAACAATCCCAGTGTTCATCTTCTCTTCTCTTCATGGTGATTTCGGTTTGGTGCTGCTGAAAAACTCCACTCTTTGCGTCTTATTCTGAATGTCTGTGAAGACACAGGGGTAGAAGGGGCGAAAGGTCAGATCAGTAAGCAGCTCGGGGGCTACAGAAGCTGTTACCAGCATAAAACGCCCAATTCTCTGATCACACTGTTGGTGGTTGCATATTCCTTATTACAAAATGTCCCCTAAACATATCAGGACAGAGATGGCACTGGATCCTCACCTTTCAAACAGATGAAGTGAAGGTGATCCCCACATGGAATCTCCCTCCAGTGGAAGGGAGCACTGGTGTCAATGCCGCCACAGGGACTGGTTTCTTGCCAGGGGGATTGTGTGTCCAAGTAGTAAAAGCTCATGGAAGTACCAGACATCCAAAACCACGTGCCAGCCATCAGGTATCTAAAAGGGATCCACTGATAGTTGCATTTTTGCTTGTCAACCCAGCTAGGTTTAGCATTACAGCAGCTGTAACAAAAAGGTTTTTGGAGAGCGCAAACTCTAAAATATAGCAGCTATTCCCTTGTAGAGGTGGGTCCTTCCGATTAATATGGCACTTTGTCACAATCTGAGCTTATTTACTGTGACTTTTGTTTGATTATTATTGCCCCTTTAATGGCCTGTTGTTAACGTACCAGATGGTTGTCTGGTGGGGCAGTGGTGTTATAAATGGCTCTGATATCACACTAATGAGAGTGAATTATCTCTGAGAATAGAAGAATCATGCAAACAATATCGGTTTTAAATCTGGTTTGGAAATTATAATAATTGTTTTGGTCCGTCCCAAATAAAATTATTTGATTGCACTTGCCTTCATCATCAAATTAACATTAGAATATTTTCCACTACAAAAGGTGTCAACAAAAGAACTGCTGAGCTCAAATCTCTGGACCAGATGGGAAAACACAAGCAGGAAGACTGAATACAAATCTCTCCACCTCTCTAACAACTACTTCCTACTTGGCTCCCTACATCCGAACACTCCTGCAGAGATGCTCAGAGGTAAACAGTGGCAGATTGTTGTTACACCTGGCAGTGTCTAGGTTTGAATGCATGCAAGTGTGTGACCGTAGAGGCAAGGAGCTGCTTTAACAGACCACACTGCTCAGTAAGTCCTCCCAGGATCAATAAAGGTGAAGAACAACACAACACAATTAACTGTGCAACCCTAGCCAATGCTGTGCCATCAAGTAAATCTTCAGATATGGTTAGAGGAATGCAGGATAAATATATATATATATGTGTGTGTATATATACTTTAAAATATGCTCAGAGAGAAGGTTTCTTATGTGTACTTTAAAAAGAAGGAAACTTTTGGCAGTGATCCTAACTCATTCAAAATTCAGAGAGTAGAGCTCAAACTATACTATACAGAAAAGTGCACAAACACAAGAAATTCAGATTACTTTCTTCACTGATTAACCATTTACAGACCAAATATTTTTCTAAAATCTGATGCCTATGATGAGTGAGTCTAAATTATTTGATGAAAGCTTGATAATAAAAAAAAGTCATGGTATTTATCCTGATCATTTCAATTTTATGAATATTTATGAATATGATGTCATAATTCTGGGACACAAAAACAGGAAAGTCCAGCACAATAAAAAAATAAAAAATATGAGTCACAATTTTTGTATACGTATTAAGTTTTTTCATTTTTATAATGCCTATATTTCATTTTTCTTTCCTTGGTGAAACTGGGCTGCTGCAGAGCCAGCCACATTTAAATCTCTATTTGGTTTTAATTGTAAGTTCAATATGAACTGACTTTGGTAAAGGAGACAATTTATGGCAAAAAAATATACTAAAAAAAGTTCAAGTGCAACACACTTGGTGAAATGAACCTTGTTTTTAAGAGTACCTGCGCAGTCCCAACCAAACCTGTTTGGTGAGGTTGGAGGAGACGGTTGTCAGCACCGCTTGCACCTCCGTCTGCTCCTGTCCACTGCGTATGCTGAGCAGGTCCCAGTAGAAGTCTCTGCAATAGAGCAGAGCATCCGACCAACACAGCTTCCTCTCCACCACTGCTACGTTCCTGCCCATCACCACTGCACTGAACGAGGGCGCAGGAGCAGCCAGTTCTGGAAAATATGAGCAACAGTACGTCAGGTTTGGAGATCCATTGTCCTCCTATTATTGCTGTTTCTAATTTGAGTTAAAATTCTGTCAGGTTTACAGGTCATCCTCCATTAAGAAATACATAAAGAGATTTTTGGATTATATGTCAAGGTCAGATTGACTAACCTCCGTACACTTCCAACTCGCACACTGTCAGAGCAACGTTGGGGTCTGTGCTATTGAGGTACAAGTTGACCAACCGACCTATCATCCCTCCACACTGGAAGGTCCTGGTAGCTCCACTTGGAATAGAGGAAATCACAGTGCAGCTGAGAGAGAGACAAAAGTGAAAGGATAATTCTGGATTATTTGGAAAAGTCTGGGGCATGAAGTACATAAAGTATGATGGGGAAAGAACCTGGAGCAGTCAGACAATCGAGATTACAACAGAAGATTATTCAGACCATCTTTCGGAGGTTAGACTGAAAGTGAGGACATTTACTGCTTTCTATCAATGTTGTGTATACCAAATAATCACAATGCATATGGCAGCTCTGCAGATCAAAGTCAAACCCATAAATTGTGATGTTTACAAAACAAAAATCACAATTGTAACGCTCTCCAGGATTACCTTGGGTTGTTGTTCCCGTTGTTCTCTAGGGAATTCCCAATGAGGATCTGGACATTATTGATCCTTTCAGGTAGTTCATTTCTGTTGGTGATGGAAATACGTTCGATCCTGTACACAGCTGGCAAGAGCAAACTCCACCAGTGACTAACTCCGCCTAATAATGTATGGCTGCAGGATCCATTAAAAAAGTCTGGGTTTTTATTCCCATCAATTGCCCTATAAGCATCACCAAGAGGAGTGTAGGTGGATGACTGAGTTGCTGCTCCATTTGGTGCCACATTTACCAAAGAAGAGGCAGCTTGGTGGTGACAAAACAGACAAACAACAAAAACAAACAAACAAACTTCAAGTTGCACCTTCTGTCTCCCACTTTTGTCATACATATTTTTTTCAACTTATATTCTCACTTCAGCCGTTTTGTGTTTACCCTGGTCCCTCACAAACTCCTCTCAAAAAAGGAAGTGTCTCAAATGTGTATATGTCAAGAATTTGGTGTTTTATGTGCATAGATGCAAATTAACATTTTTGAATACTGGTTATATGCTGAACTTTTGTTATTTTTGTCAACAATTTAAATGTTTTGTTCTTACAGCAGCAAATATATCAGCTGGATCTTACCTGATATGCTTTGGAGAAGCCACAACTGGACGAAAACACCTTTCAAAGGAGAAACAAAAGTCAATCAGAAACATCCTGTTACACGTCCAAATGTTTTCACAGGTAATAATTACACAAAAAAGATTTCAAACACTTTGTGAATTTGCACTGAGAAACAGAGGGCTGTTATTTCATTCTAACAGTCCATGTACTGAAGCTGCTGACAAATTGTTACGTGTGTGTCCTCAGCTATTGAAGTAAAGAAAGTTGAATTTGGAGCTTTCGACGCACTTCTCAAGGACAGACAGAACCACAGTACAGACGAAAAAATGGTGCGTGTGAAGGTTGAGGGACAATACAAACTTCCACACTGGTTACTTCAGACTTCACATTCAACAAAAAGTGAATGATCAGGCAGAACTCTCTTTGGTTCAAAGCAGATGGGAGGTTCCGACAGTCCTTTGAAAATTGCAAACGTGAAGTTCCCAGTTTACGTTCTATGGATTTCAGTGTCACAGTAGAAAACTATGCACTCCTTTGCATAAACTAAATGCTTACAGTGTTAGCATTGGCAGTAAATTTAATTTTAAATGGATGAGTTTAGTGGTTGTATTCAAATGTGTCAAAATAATCCCACATACACAAACAGTGTCCATGTAAATCAACAAATCCCTCTGTGTTTTGATTGCATTTACTGGGAGAGAAAGTGTATTTACTTGGTCTTATCATTCACTATGTCATAGAAACATAAAAAAAAACATATCAGATGCAGCCTCTTTACCAATTCTTTGTTTTAGGCTATTTTCTGAAAGGAATGTATCTTTCAGATCTAAACCTTTCAGTTACACTAAAATTAATTTAAGATAAAATACATGTGAATCAGTTTCATATGTCCACTCTTTACTTTTACACGTGTATTTCTGTAATACATTCTGTGTTGTTTTTATACCAAGCAGGTCTGACTTGAATAACAATAAGCACGATAATTGCTGGTATTTGATGGGGCCAGTGTGTCCTTTGTAAAAGATGATGCAGGCCCATGTCTGATTGTATTGTTTCTTTAAGATTGTTGTTTCTAACTTCCACTCTCTTGTTTCAATTGCAGCTCTACTACTGTATCTGTTATGTTTTTTGTCCATTTGTCAGTTTCTAATTGTGTTGGAACAACAGGTACAAAGTTGGCACATTAACACTGATGCTGTTAAAATGTCAATGTGAAGAATCTCGTATAAATAAACAAACAATGCTTGAATTTTAGGCAAACTGACAGTATTGTAGACATTCTTGAATACTAAACAAATCAAACTCTTCACAAAGGTGACATCAATAAGTAACAGTAACAGTTTAGTGAAGCCAATCTAATAAAATAATAATACCTTAAGTGTTTCTTTTGTCATTTGATTTCATATTAGTTTCCAAACAATTTAAAGATCATACTCACAGTATTTGGCCATCATGCTTCCAACATCTGAGACAACAGGGACCTTTTCAATGTCTATTATAAAAACAGAGGGACCTGGTACGTGAGGTATGTAAACCACGTCAGATGATTTGCATATATATATTTGTTTAGTCAAACATCAGAATCAACACATTAACAATTCAAAAGCTCACTGAAATTCAAATTCAACTTTCAATTCAACTTCTGTCATAAAACTGTGTGACGTTGATCTGCAGTGCTGGAAGAAGTCTTTTTTCTAGCTTTAAATGTGAAATAGTGGATCATTTGACATTTTTGTGCCTCAAACAGAAATTTAGAATGGAAATCACTGTTCGGTCACTCATTGCCTTTATATGCATTTTCAATGAGTGAAAACTCAAACAAAAAGCATTTACTAAAGCTGATGGAGCGATAAGGCCCTGCAACCTTCTCAAATCAATGTGCAGGAAGCAAACATACCAATAAAATTCATATTTCAATCATGTTTTCTACTTTGTTTTCAGTAATTTGAGATTTGAGTGGAGCTTATTGTCCTCTCATCGCGTCCTCTTCTTCAACTGTTTGCTGCACAGTATATGAGTCTGTATTGATTTTTCAGATGATTACAGTGGCTTCACCATATGTACAGTGTCTGTTTGTCTTCTATGAAAGAACACTGTTTCAAGGGAAGGTATGTGGTAGTGCTAGTTTGGCTACCCCCTGTAAGTCACACGATTCCCTTTTACTGCAGATATAAGCAGCCCTGTGGTTGTATGCCTCTGCCAACCAAGTTGCAGTTTATATAGGTGGTACAGACTTCGAAGGAATTATATAATGGGTATAAAGTGTATTTTTTGGCTAAATGGAAGAATATAGCTATACAAGTAGCAAATACAATAAATGTATCCTTGAGTCCTGGTCAACGATTGTGCTTAATTTGAAGAAATTCCATCAAGGTTCCTGAGATATCACATTTACAAGGATGGGGCGGACTGGCGGACGTACAACCCGAGAATATGAAGCCTTATGTTTATTTTCTCTGGTTTATTCATCAGTGCATCGCTCTGCTTTACTGCAAAAACTCCTGACCTCTGTCTACTGCAGGTAATACACAGACAATGGATAAATACCTCATACAACCGCTCTTCCTAAAACCTGAACCATCCCTTTAATATTAGATGCTCACTCCAGGAAGTAAATGTTATTCCCCTGACACCTGTTTTTTTTTTTTAAATATCGTAGGTTGATGTAAATGTGGTTTTAGAATCTGCCTTCACGGAAATATTTTCTATTTGCATATTTCCCTGCTGTGTGAGGCATGGTGGCATTTTGAAAAGTATACTCCCTTAATGGAGTATACTAGATAATGTAGATAATGTGTGTACTGCAAGAAATAAAGAACTTAGAAATATATTTAATGTAACTGAAAGACTTTGTAAGGGACCCGTAATGTTTGGTGTGTGGCCTCAAACCATAAGAAATTACTTTGTTTCCCTCATGATTGATGTCTTAATACAGTTTGGACTATCGTGATGCCAGCACTATTTCTCAACAGCAGCAAATGTTCCCCTAGCGAAGGATAAGATCATTTAAATTTTGTCTCGAAACAAGGTTGGAAAAGACCAAATCCTTTGCAAAGTTTTTCATTTTCTTTCCGCCTTGTCTGTGATGATGGGTTATTATTATGTCGATTCATTAGCATATTTCATATCCTGCTGCCGAGCGTTCCCAGCTCTCTATCTGTCTCCATCGGTGGCGGAGACAAGACACAGGTGCTGGA